AATTTAATCTGTTACAGTGGTGGGAATCTTGCTGGCAAGTTCTAGTTCTATAAAAGACTCCCTTTTCCAAAATATGGTTAATCATTTCTTCATATTTTTAGAATGGAATCAATTATTTTGTTTGTAATTTTCAATATTTATGACATAAGAGTGCTCACTATCAAGGATAGGGCTTTGAGGATATAGAAATCCACATTTTATTGGAAGTGGACATCGTCTGATGATCGCTTAAGGTAGGAAACTGCCGGTCACCATATAGTGATAATTTCTGTTATTGCTGTTCATATTTCAAAAAGAAATAAATTTTAGCATGACTAAGTCCCAATCTCTGGAAAGTAAAGGTATAAAAGTAGGCACCCCCAAAAATGTTCTAAAAATAGCATATGATGATGAAAAATCCTCTAAGTTTTATCGTCAAAATGTTTATTATTAAGATGAAAGACGAAAATATTTATTATTTTATTAAATTTTTTAATCCTTTCTATCTTGTTCGAAATTGTGGTTAAAAATCTTGGTTTTTCTTGTGTTAGAGGAGGGCAAAGATTAGTATGAAAAATTTAACGTCTATTTTGCGGTAAAAAACAGTTATGAAAATTCTTTCAAAAATCAAATGTGGGATTTTAATGAAATATTCAAAACCTATTCATAAACGAATTAAATTATTTTTTAAATATTCTTTTTCAGAAAATCTTGGTAAAAAATATTTTTTTAGTCATCTTAGTTAATTTTATTTAATTTCGAGAAATTAAAATTCCAGAATCTTCGTATTTATTAAAAGCAGGCTTCCTTTGAGAATTTAAATCATTAAATTGTTTTGTTTTTTTAAACTAAAATCAGCTCTAAATCGTAAAATAAAAATTCAGCAAAACTGAGATTAAAAACAAAAACTATTAGAAAAAAACTTTTAATTGCTTTTTATATTTGTTATATTTAAGACATTATTGTTATATTTAAGACATTATTGTTATATTTAAGACATTATTGTTATATTTAAGACATTATTGTTATATTTAAGACATTATTGTTATATTTAAGACATTGTTATATTTAAGACATTGTTATATTTAAGACATTGTTATATTTAAGACATTATTGTTATATTTAAGACATTATTGTTATATTTAAGACATTATTGTTTTAAGAAAAAGTTTTCGATCAATAATTAATTTTTACAAGAACTGTTTTCATTTTTAAAAATTTTAATTAGAAAATTTTATTAAATTTTGAATCTTTTGAAATTTTTTACTAATGTGTAAATGTGCCGTTTTTTGTAAGTACAGGCGACAAGTGAAATTATCAGAAAATAAGAGCGATGACTATAGTCAATTTAAAGCCATAATTTCTAAAATCTTCGTATTTATTAAAAGCAGGCCTCCTTTGAGAATTAAAATCATTAAATTGTTTTGTTTTTTTAAACTAAAATCAGCTCTAAATCGTAAAATAAAAATTCAGCAAAACTGAATATTTCCCTGATTTTTTTAAAAAAGTTACTGAGTACTTCAAAATTGAATAAAAAAACGTGTTCATGTCATTTTCTCCAATTATTTTTTTACAAATAAAGTTTCCGTAGAACAACATTAGATCTGTTATCACTTTGTAAAAAACATAAATACGGCTACTGTCTGCTTAAAAAATGGATTTCTGCGATATTTTAAACTTAAAGTAAATAATTTCAAATCAGATTAATTATACTTTAAATCAGCTTATATTCCTCAAATAATGTTTCAAAAAGGTGTTTGTTTTTTTGTTTTGTTTTTTTTTCGGAAGTTTTTTTTCAATAAAGATAATTACATTGTGATGAAAGACAATTAAAATGGGACGCAAACTAGTTGTTTTAACAAAAAAATAATTTTTTCCAATCAATTTAAATTAGTTTTTGAAATACAGCAAAATATTTTGCTTCTGTCTATATTTCTGAGATGAGGTATTATGTACGCTATTTACATTATTCAGACTATTGGCTTCATCTTTGTCGCCACATGGCACAGTGGATAAAGGCGTTGGTTAGATCCAGTGACAGGACCCAAAGAGTGTAAGTTCAATACCCTGTTAAAGCAATGGAGAAATTGGGGAGGAGAATTAACAGGAGATAGCTGATAACTAATCCAGTCTACAGTGAGCAAAATAAAAGGTTCAGTTCGACATTTCAACCACCTGAATAAATATGGCGACAAAGATGAGAACAATAGTCCGAATAATGTAAATAGTGAATATTTTGCTTATTGGAAATATTAAATATGATCTATTAACTTGAAATTAAAACCAAAATAAAAGATTCAAGAAAGAATTTTAATTTTAAAAATCATGTTAAACATTAGGTATCGTGTTTTTTGTGAAGGTCCCTATATAAAAGTCATTTGACTATTAATTCTATCGGTCGATATGAATCAAGAGCCGTGTCGTCGAATATGGGTCTCTTCCACTTTGTCTATTTAATACATATGTTGAAATAATTAAACGGGTTTTGTTTCAAGAGATACGCATCTTCCTCGGATCTGATTGCTTCTCGTTGAGGAGGAAGCCCGTCAGTTGTGGCCTTTTTGTTCAGGAGTAGTCGGAAACTATTCGTTCGGTCCGGATGCTAATTAGTAAATCGTTTCGCCATTTTGGGGATGTTTTATCGGTCACGTCAAGCACGTAGGTGCGTGCCGACAGACGCTGAGAGGCCGTCTGAAAGAAAAGAACATTGACCACTCAAAAGGAAATGCGAAAAAGGTCACATCAGTTGAGTGGCCGGCAATCTCCTTCAGCCCAAGTTATTCTTATATAAGTTCGCGTTTTCTTTCATACTCATTTTCCTTCTAGGTAATTTCTCCTCACGCATAATCTGCAAAGCGGCAAATGGCCCTTCACTCTACTCTGAAGAATTATAAACAAAAGCTTCTTTTTTTTTCTTCTTGCTGATCATTAATATTGGCCCTCGGCCAGATTGTCACACTCAGATATACTTCAACGAGATTATTATTCCTATATGTACCGTATCCCTCTGGGCGTTGGCACTCCGCAACTTCCTAATGCTTTGTATTTTTTTACAAGTCCCCACCCCGCTCACTGGTTCCTGGTGTCCCTCGAACCTTTAATGTGTCATGTAAGTTTCGAATTCATAAAAGCTTACTTCCCTTATTATATTCTAAGTTTTTCAACCATGTCTTTATGATTCTAAGTATGCCCTATGAGTGTCAAATTCTCCAAGCCCTCTTTCCTCATGTGTTCTAAGAATTTCAATTGTTTATTTCTGATTCTAAGTATAAACTTAATTTTTACCTTTTCCTGAAATCCTCTTCATTATTCACATGCTCTGCCCATGGTATTATCAGTATCCTTTTGTACAATCAGATGTGCGGGTGGTGTAATGGATAACGGCTCAAAATGAGAACACAGCCGAGTTTGAATTCCAGTTGAGTTCGTTAGATTTACGGAGACGCAAATACTATTGAGAAATTTATTAATCCACTTCCTGTCCCCAGTTATTAGTTAAATAGTAGAACTAGTATCGGGAGGAAAAGTAAGCATTGGTGTTCTAAAAAACAAAAATGTTGATGCAATGTTCACTCGTTAAAAAAAAAGAAAAAAGAATTCTCCTTCTTTCATTCCAAAAAATGTTTCGGCGTTAGCCTCTTCCTCGGCGTAGTGTCTTTTACAGACGCATAAACACGTCCAAAACATAATGTTAAAAAAAACCCACACCTACAGACGTGTTTATACGTCGATCTTGATTTCTTTTATGCTCTTTTCTTAGTTACTATATTAAAAACAAATAAAAACAAAATTCGTCTAAAAATGAAAGGTTTTTTCCAAAAAATAATTGGCGGGGAATGGGTTAAATAACCTAAAAAGGGTTAAGTTGTAACTAAACAAAAGGATCACTCTGTTAAACCACATTTCTGTTGTCTGAATATGTTATGGTAATTTACCCACGCAAACACGGACTCTCCCAGTTATAATTAGGAGCAGGTACTGCTTTTTGGATAAGGAAGTTTTCAGCAGCCAGCTCTGATAGTCGGACCGAACACTCTCGTTTGTATTACTATTATTGTTAATATATTTATTTAATTCAATTCCCCTCTTGTGTCTTTATTTCTGGCCCTAAAAAGGCCACGACAACTTGACTGTTGCAGAAAATGATTTTATGAAGTCAGTTATATTTGCTCGAGGATGTTGAAATGTAAAAGAATCTCTATTTCATCCGTGAGGAAATTATCCAGTATTCATTGCCATATCGGAAAACTGATATGAAGTATCAGTTGAGCACTATCTTCTGTGATTCTAATGACATTTTCCTGTTTCTTAATATTTTGCTTAGTTTTTGGAAGGCATATTTTACTATGTCAACTTGCTTTCGAATCCCAGTGTAAAATTTTTGTTGAAACACTCTCCAGGGATTTAAATTTTCATACTTGCTTGATTATGAGGTTCTAATTCGTAGCACGCATCTTGCAATGTTCATGTTCCTGACAACCATACAATTGATGGTTCCTCCTTTCTTCCAGCGAGGCCCGTTGAAACAGTTGGTATGATGTTTGCTTGACAACCTAACTGTCAGGGTTTCAATTCTTGGTAGTGGATGCGCACTGCTGATGAGTTCCAAATATAGGACGAAACGGCCGTCCAGTGCTTTCTGCATTCTGTTGAGGACTCGATGAATTACTTAAATATAATTATCAAAATCTCCTAATTATTTCTATCATATATTATATGGAACCCCGGTTAAAAATTCAATAGATTTAAGTAGTATCAGTAAAATCTCAATTTTGTGTCAAAATAGTCTCACACGAACTTCGACTTTCCGCATTCGTATGTATTAACCAATCAGGCTTTCAAAAAGCAGACGACTGTCGTTTGCTAAAAAGATTGAAGGCTTACAACCAGAAAATGATTAACAATTTTTCCCCTCCTAATGTCAAACGTAAGTGACTCTAATGAATCCGAAAGGAATTAGAACTCTGCTCTTTTACTTCCAATTCCGAGCCGTTATCCATTATACTTCCGCACATCCAACCTTACAGCACCTGGTATTCCCAAGCGATCACCCATCTAGTTACTTACCAAGTTCAACATTGCTTAACTTCAGTGGTCGTATGGGAACCGGTGTTTCAACATATGGACTTACACCGTCGGTCTGTTAAAAATAGCTTTCGAAATATCACTGTAGATATTTACACAGCTTTGCCCGGTGTGGCACAAATAAATAATGGTATACTCAGTGAGGACTAAACGCTAACAAACTAATTTGAGGACTATAGTCCAAATATAAATAATAATTCCTTACTCCAGAAATTCACACAGAAATTATTGAGTCGGTACGGACCCGATGTGATACAACAATGATGACAATTGTTCGAATATAATTAGTGTAAATAACTTTTCTTTTTTTTCTTTTTTTTTTAAATTCTCCAATTTGATGATTTTATTTCTCAGTCCAAGGTAGGAAGTATCCAGGCTTAATTGGAGAGGAAAGTATTATAAATACATAGATAATGTTTGACGGACAGAGAATAAGCTCTTAATTTACGATATAGATTCTGTCTGGAGAAATATGGTTGATTAGCATAGACATCACCGTTCAGAAGTTTGAATAGCAATCGCGGTATAGATTAATCAGCATACGAATGACGGAGCATGATTACTGACAAGTCACAGTGGACCAATATTGTAATGAATATATAAGGCAAATTCTTTGAGAAGGCCGCAGACGCGATATCATTTTACTGTCGGGTAGGAACAACACTCTGTAGATGCGACAAGAAAACTTTGACGGACATTTACATCTCGACGCTGCCGTATCTTAGCGAGGACTACTTTTGAAAATCATTTTTATCACTGCCAACTGACTTTACCACAAGTCCTTTTTCCCGAACTCTATGTATGTCGCTCAGAAACTAATTATTTCTGGCAGCAAGGAAAGGATTTGACTATTAAAAACAAACTTTTCCAATTTTTGTAAGAAGTTCCATTCGGACAGCAGCTTCGCAAGAACTGCTGCTTTTTGGAACAGACGCCCGACAGGATGTTTTCTCGATCATTTCAAACTTAATCTGTTGAAGCCTAGAGTTAACCGTTATCTTTCCTATTTTTATTTTTATTTTCTTAGGCTCATACAACAGCACACAGTAACCCTCTACCTTTAGTAGCTCTTGGGCCTTGTATTGAGTGAACATTAGTATATAATAATTATCTAAGCAATCAGACAAGACAATACAGAGAAGTTTCTAACTGTTACTCAATGTTTCCTCCTAAATTTTATTTACTATTTATTTATTACCTCAACAGGAGTAGATAGGTTCGCCTATCGTCCGGTTTACACTCCTCCCCAGTGTTTTGAACAGGAGTAGAAATGTATCCCTTGTTTCCTGTTTATAATTTGATTAGTGATTTCTTCAAAAGCCTTTCCATTCTTTTTCACGCCCTGTAGCTCTATGCGTCTTAGTAGCTTTATCGCCTTTATTGGAGTAAATTGATTAAAAATTCTTCGGCTTTGCTACAATTCTGTAGTGAGGAACTTAAAGTAGTGAACCAATATCTTGGCTCGAATATCAGCGAAGACGTCTCCAGCATACGAATTCTTTCAAGACCAGCACCAACAGTGGCAACTGTCGCAAAACTCAAAACCACCTTGCAAAACAAGAATATCAGTCTGAAATCAAGGACAGACTGTTGCGCGAATCTTAGACATTAACAGAATTTCAACAAAGAATCCAAACATTAGAAATTAAATGCCACAGAATCATCTTCAGCATATCCTATATAAACAGTATCACAAATGACGCAGTGCAAGCCACCATCAAGCAAGAAACTCGTTGGAAGAACACATAAGCTCTTTCTGAAGAAGAGATTTGAAATGGTATGCTCACGTCATGGTAGCCAACGACCTTTCTACTACCATCCTAGAATCCAAAAAAGAATCTGTAATCTTGTCAAAGGGTTTCGAGTTGTCCAATGCCCGGGTTTCACCGTTTTTATCTGAAGCATGGTAAACTCTTTCCGCAATTATGGTCAGCACATCAGCAGTTGACCTGGAAAAACGAAAACCGTATTGTTTGTCTGAGAAAAGGCCCTGCAATAAGGGATGATGAACCAATTCAGCATTGATTAAGGCCTCTAGGAGTTTCCCCAAAAGAGGTAAGAAGGCTGATAGTTGGAAGGGTTGGACGGTTCCCCAGAGTTCTTAAAAACTGGAACAAACGATGACTTTCAGCAGGCAAAAAAGCAGGAGGCAGCAAAGCATTTATTCTATAGTTTTGAGAGAACAGGAGCCAGTTCGGGGACACTACTTAATGGCTATTACAGGTATACCATCAGGTTCACATGCTTTGTGGGGTTCTAGGTTAGAAATATAATACAAACCATGGAAGGGGTTATCGGCATATTACTCAACTGAGATTCAGTTTTCTGCTAGAGGTTAGGCATGGATACTCTATATGAGTCGAGATTAGAGTTTGAGAAGAATTTATTGGCAAAACATTCAGCTCGATCAGCAGAGAATGATAACACCTCAAACTGATTGAAGAGATCTTGCATTTATTTAATACCCTATTACAGAGCCGCCAGTAATCACGAGATCCAAAGTTGTTAGTGACTACACGATGCATTTCGCTCAGAAACTAATTATTTCTGGCAGCAAAAAAGGATTTGACTATTAAATACAAACTTTTCCAATTTTTGTAGTTCCATTCGGACAGCAGCTTCTCGAGAACTGCTGCTTTTTGGAACAGACTCCAGACAGGATGTTTTCCCAATCACTACAATCTTGACCTGTTCAAGCCTAGGGTTTACCGTTATCTTTCCTCGGCAAACAGGGACTTCGAGGACTCGCTTACATTTATAGGCGCCCGTTATGACGGAAGCTAATACGTTGATATAGCCGAAAATAGTACTCCCTCTGTGTTATAACGGGAGAGCATGCTGGTGTGAACCATGGAGAAGAATACCAATCAGCATGCTTGTAACGGAAAGAGATCTTATGGATAGGGGGCTCTTGTTTAATAGATGACTAGAACGAAATATCAATCGCTACCACAGCGTGGTCCGAGTTTCCAAGAGGGCAGTGTTGCGAAGCTCGGCGAGGAGAGGAAGTAAGAAATAAGTAGAGAAGTCGCTTTACTATTTACACTATTCGGACTGTTCTCCTCATCCTTATTGTTATATCTACTAGATCATGTGTCCTTGTGGATAAAGACGTTGGTTGAACTAATCCAGTGACTTGACTCAATACCTAGTCACAGAAGAGGCGAACAAAAATTGGAGAGTTGAGTTCCTAAAGGGAAATAACTAAAACTTAGATATCCAGAAAGGGCATGGCACGTGGAACTAGACCAATCAACCCCGATGGACGAAATAAAGCGTTTGGTTCGAAATTCTTACGTATATCGCCTGAAGAAGGTCGGAGCGTACAATGGCCGAAACGTCCTGAATATGACAATAAATATAGGGGCAACAGTCCGAACAATGTAAATAGGGTAAATAGATACCACTTTAGACAAAAGGGAAAAAAAACAAGAGGAGAAATGGACTGACAATGTCACTGACGTCGAGTCGAAGATCGTTAATATAGATTCGAACATTGGTACAGATACTTATGGAAAGAGTTGATCAGGTGATCAGCTAAATAGCGGCCTCACCATCACACCCCGTCAAGTGACTGATGATGATGTCCTTTTTTTTGTGGGGTAGAAATAACCTTTTAAGACAGCTCGAAAGACCGACGGAGATTGTTATAGCATGGCCTAATTCTGTTACATGCAAGATACATTTCTGAATATATGAATTCATTTTTATACTGGAGACCAATGAAAGCGTACATTAAAAAACCGGAAGCCGACATGCAGCCTCGCGTTCATTTTCGCAATGTTTTGCATTTACGCCTGTCATTAACGGATCTCTCTGGGACTTTGGTTTGCGCATTGATCGATTTTACATCGATTAGCAAAAGAAATCCACGCAATCAAACGTGACCAAATTAAATATAAAAACAGGGGAAGCCTACATTTTCGGCGGCCATTTTTTTCTCATTCAGACTGCTATAACTTCTGTTCGTTCTGCGTGACATTCTAACAGCATTAGTACCGTTGTGTTTTCAAAAAATCCATTTAAAATACTAGAGCTGTATCATTTAGTTCTTAATTTTCTTGTCTGTAGTGTTTGTTCTCGTTTTTAAATATCTATCTATTTAAATAAATAAATAATAGGTAAATTTTGTCTGTCCATTAACTATGGCCACACTTGCTCGACATATAATTCTTGAATCAGAATGATCTTGAGATTGAAGATTTGCCTTTTTGCTTGAACATCCAGGATTGAGATTTGAACCCGGATGAGGAGGTAACAGCTAAAAATTCAAATTTTTAAATAACTGAGAAAGATTAGCGATTTTGAAAGATTTTAATTTATACTTAGCTTAAAGTAACACAAAAACTATGTGAATTTTAAAAAAATGTTTTAAATTCAGTTTAAAATATATCCAAATTTTTGTGAACTGAGAAAATCAATTTTACTTCTTCAAAATGCCAAGGAATCAGGATTAAAGTGAGAGGTTTCGTGACTGGGTTTGAAGTTCCAAAGAGTTTGCGATTTGAAGAACTCAACCCAATTCTACGAAGTTTGTGAGTTGAAGAACTCAATGTTCGACCTGAATTGGAAATTTGGCCAAATCGGTCTTTTGACCGGAATTGGAGTTATAGTCTGAATCAGTGTTAATGAAATAAATAGATTTCTTCAAAATTATCATGAACAGAACTAGAGGTCCCTTTAGCACTCTTATAAAAGCTTAAAATCCTCACGGAGTAGGGCTTTGCAGATAGCTTTTAAGCTAGTAATAAATAGAAGCGAAAAAAGGGGTTTCATTTAGAAAAATAGAATTAAAGGACCGACATTACGAAATGATTTTTGTCTGTTTCGAAAATTAAAATATGCAAAGATAGGTTTTATTTTATTTTCAGTAAACACACATAATGTATGTATTATGACTTAAACCAGAAACATATTATAGTTGCTTAAAATCTATTTGAAACGTCATTTAATAAATATTAACGAAAAACATTTTGTTGGTTGTTCAAAAAAATATCAGCCCCAAAACCAAATTTCTAAAATCGCATATAAGTA